ACGATGGCCTTACGAAGGGCAAAATTGACACACGAATTCAACACGAAAATGAACCTTCGCAAGGTCCTGCGGCAATTTTTTGGCATGCCAAAGATTTTGCCACCGCTCGCGAAGTTGCTGCCGGAGCCTGAGAAACTCCACCGGCTGTCATACGAAGGCTTAAGATGCCCTCACGAATGGCCCGATGTTGCTAGGATCACAGCCGAATTTGAACATTTCCTTTATCGTGTGTCCATCGGGTTGTTTTATTGCACAACAAAATCATGTAAATATATTATGTAAATAACCCAATTTGTGTTCTGTGAAACTAAAAAGGATATAATATATTATTTTGAAGGACAGTTGACAGGAAGTTGTTGTTGTTATGGAAACAACATTACGGAGAAAACGTAATATTTTCTACATATAACGACGGATAAAGTAAAGAACAAAGTCTGAAGATATCAGTACAGTATCATAGTACTGTAACATAATTGTTTTTGGTACTTTCATTGCAGTTGTATGTCTTAAATGTAATGTAAATGTTGCCTTCGTGTGTGGTTCGGGGCCATCTTCGTGCGAAATTCACAATTCCATATTCGTGTGTCCATCGGGAGTCAATTTCGGGACAGTGTGACAGGGCCTTTAAGCAGTCCATCAACTGCTGTAGTGAGTGTTTGACATTTGCTTTGAGAAGCAGATATATCTGTGCATCGTCGGCGTAGAAGTGGAAGGGAATATTGTGTTTAGTGAGAATTTACCCTAGGGGCAGTATGTACAGTAAAAAGAGGATGGGGCCCAGGATAGAGCCTTGGGGAACCCCACAGGTTCATAACAACACAATTTCCCGATTTTGGATCAACAAAGTGCATCTTATTATCTTATACTAACAGAACTACGCCTATATTGCGTACAGTGCCCATAAACTTAGGCACCCCCCCCCCAATCAATTTGAACTGCCCCAGCCCCAGTAAAAATCAGAGGTTTATGTGAAATTGTTCTTTTTTTTAAATCATGGTTTTAGTGTGCAATTATAGGTTTTAATTTTGTATTTGTGTTCATTTTAAATAAATCAAACTCCCAAAAAACGTATACAGCTTCTGTGTGCTTTTGTTAACATTGGCATTTACTGTGTAAGCGGCCGCGAGGGAGAGAGCTTTAGAGAGCTCTCTCCTGAAAGACTGAGAGGCTTTGATAACCTCAGCTCAGTGAGGTAAAGGCACACCTTTATATGATCATTATAGTTATAAAAAAATAATAGAATAGATGAAAAACATGTATAAAATACTATATGACAGTAAAAAAAGTTGTTATTAATAAACAAGAATACAGTTTAAAAGGGGAGTGATTTGTAAAATATTCATAAAGAAAAAGAAAATCTGTTTACAGTTCTATTTCATATTGATGTTGAGAGATAGATCTCTTAATTTTGCTCTCAAAGTGCACCAGATTTATGCTTTTAACTTTAATATTAAAGAAATAATAATCTTCCCGGGGGAGCATGCCCCCGGACCCCCCTAGAGGATGTTAGGTCCCACCCCCACTTAAATCATGTTCAAATGGATAGGATACTAAATACATTTGCACACATCTTGTGTCCATATATTTATTTGGTGGTCATGCCACAACCGTGCACGTGCATGCATGCGCGAGTCATAGTGAGTGTCTGCATTTTGGGTGGGGGCGCCAGCTAAATTCTTGCCTAGGGCAGCAAATTGGTCAGGGCAGGCCCTGCCTTGACATACTCATAAGTATTTCTTATCTGTGCTGACTGCATCCTCAATATCAATAAAATGTACACAATTGGGTTAATACATGCCTGGACACTTTAAACATAGCCTCACCTTTACCCCCTGACCAAAAGGAATGTCCATATAAAAACCATTGGTTTCTCTTTGGGACCTCGACCTCACACATCTTTTTTTTTTTATCAAAGCCAAGCAACCTGGTCATTGTTAATTTAAACTTTTTTTTATATGGTTTTATGATAATGTAGATATGTATTTATCTAACCAGTTCATGCACTTGTATTTACGAATATTCACTTTGAAAACCTTGTGAACCATTGCTCTCTTTGAAATTAGCAACAGCAGCTGATAGTAGGGACCAAGGAAATTACCACTTCAGATGCTGAAAGCAGCAATCCACTGGTTCAATCATTACAATAGCAGTGTACTGATTGAAGCCTTGTTTAAAATATGTTGTAAAGGGAAAAAAGGAACACAAGTAATTTGATGTCGCATCCACATGTGCTGCCGAGTGAAAGCTTAACACATTTTCTGCTCCAGAGATCCACTTGACTTCTTACTTGACTTGCCTAATCATAGGATTACACTTGACTTGAAATACCAGTGACTTAACTTGATTTGACCAAGTCAGAAGGACTTGGAACTTGCTTGGGGTTTGGAGCACTTGACTTGAGTCACATGTCTGGGTTTACCTTTTCAAAATGTGAAGATGTCAACCAGCATCTGCCTTACCCTGAAGGTCACTATGAATGTGAAAGGTTATTTTGCTCTTACATGTATTTTACTTGTGTCCTATTACATCATACTATTAGGTGACACAATCATTTCACAATTTATTTGTGTCCACTTTAGGTAATAGTAGGGAAATACCTGGAATATTGTGTACAGTAAACTTTCAATTTGTTCTCACTCTTTGTTTCTGTCCGACACAAACGTGCATAGGCACGTACACACTTAAAGAAGACAAATTGGGTGTCAGTTTTATAACCATGTGACCTCAAAAACAAAGAGAAGGTAGATAGTGATCTTTGGCTAAGGACATACTGACAAACAAACACACACAATACACTGCCCTAGGACTTCAAAGTCTAGATTGACGGATCAAGGGAGACTGGCTTGAATATAGAGAAGGGTAAATGTGATGATCGCATGACAGGCTTTAGCTGTCTTAAACTGAGTTGATAAACTGTGATGCATGCATAAATTAAAGTTCTTATGATTAAGATTGTGTCATAGAACTGCACATCCTATGTACACCCTCTCTCCCATAAATGAAATGAATGTTTGGTTGGTTAATTTATCATTCACTGAAGGGTATTACAGAGTTGTCATCTACATAAAGCCAAGTGACATATTACGTATTTATAAACTAGAAACATAATGGAATTGCTTTGCTTGCTTTAACCTTGTAACCGTGCAACATATATGTAGGGATGCACCATTACCGCTGTTTTTCATACCAAGTACAAGTACAAATACTTACAGTACATGTGAGTACTTGCCGATACGAGTACCGATAGGAGTACTTAATACTGTATAACCTTTACAGTTTGACTTTTCACCCCACCTCTTGACAATTTAGCAGAGCTTATTACACAGCTTAGTTGAAAACTTGACTCTGATGGTCAATTCGGACATTTCAGAGGTTAGTAATACTGTTGAACAAACCTGAGCTAAGCATAATAATGATCAACAGAGAGAAAGGAACAGAGGTTAGAAGACGGAGTGCTGGACATCAGATAAATCACCAGAAGAAGGCATACAGGAAGTAAATATAAACGGTAACACGGTATGGGCTCTGGCATTGTTTAAGGACTTGTTAGTGGAAAATAAACTGTGAACAGACTTGCACAATTACAGAAAACATCGATCAGTGCTGCCGTTCCGTGTAAATTAAGTTGTTGTTGGTGCAGTTCCAGTCGTTGGTGTGCCGTGGAACAGAGGTTTTTTTTCTTAGCATAAGCATTACGATCAACTAAAGTCAATAAAATATCTCCATTAATATTGGGAGTCAAGTCGTTAGTTTGTTTAGTATTTAGCCGTCTCATAAGCAGGATAATAAGTTCTCGCTGCACATTATCCATTATATAGTTTGCAGCCGGCTCTAATTTTGTCATCATTGCTTATCCTAAAATATTTCCAAACTGCAGACATTGCTTCTTCTCCGCCTACCTGCTCAACTTACGAAAGGTTAACGTCACGTTGCCGTAAAGCGGTATTGAGTGTGGTTGAATCTGAGATTACAAATACAAGTACAGTATCGGACTGATATACCTGGTATTGGTGCATCCCTACATGTATGTAGTATACTGTACACAAAGCTTGTCATGGGAACACAAAGGAAATGGAAATATATAAAATAAAGATGCGTCATCATTTCGAATAGGTGCCATCTCTCAACTTGGAGATGTGTTCTCAAAACAAAATTCACTCAAACTCTTTCCGCTGTTCCAAAAACTGTGACAATGGTAATTTTTCTCTCTAAATGCAACACTAGAATTAGCACATATGTACAATTTGTAAACTATATGTAGTAATGGGAGAATCCAAGCAAAGTCTTAAACATATCGTTGAGCACTGATGATATCCAAACACATATCTAATCTCAACTAAAACAATTTGGCATTCCTTCTGTCTCTTACCTGACCCTAACCACCATAAAGCTATAGCACAAAATATAAACCATATTTAATCCATGTCCCTCAAGCCCTATCACCATAGTGTCCCAAAAGAGAATGCTTTCCTCTTACTATAACATGTTTCATGATAACAAGTCCCAGAGTGCGCTGATCCATCATGAGACCTCTGAAATGAAATAATTAACTATGTGTGTGTTTGACGTTCTGAAAAAAAGCATTGTTCCAGAAAGCAGTGTTTCCCAGACTTTCAGCAGTTAGCCAGCAAAGCTATTTGTGTCCCCCTCCCTCATGGGCTAATACATTGTGCTGTGATCCCTTTGTCCATCAGAGGGACAGACATTTTCGGCCTAATGCAACTGGACCCCCGCTTATGACAGCAAATATCCCTGTTGGCCAGATGACAGCAGCTGAGCACAATACTTAATGTTGACATCACTTGCTAAGGGAATCTATTTCAGGTTTCTTCCTTGTATAGTGTGCTGTTAGAAATTGCTCTACTGCTCCCTAGACAAAGCACATATAAAAGCTTTGGAAGAAGAGGTGGCCCTGTGTGCTCAGGAATCCTCTCCAATCCCTTCAGACTCTTGCTTGTTTTTCCAGCTAGTACGAGCTCACCTCTGAATCCCTTGACAACATGGCACCTAAGAAGATTGAACCAAAGAAACCTGAGCCCAAAAAGCCAGAGCCTAAGAAAGATGCTCCTACAGCGGCTAAACCAGCTCCAGAGCTACTGCCCGAGCCACCCAAGGAGCCTGCGTTCGATCCCAAAAGCATCACTCTTGAGTACAATGCCGACCAGATTGAGGAGTTCAAGGAAGCCTTCACCTTGTTTGACCGCACACCGACTGGAGATATGAAGATCACATATGGCCAATGCGGAGATGTGATGCGAGCTCTGGGTCAGAACCCTACCAACGCAGATGTGCTCAAAGTGCTCGGAAAACCAGGGCCAGAGGACATGAGCACTAAAATGGTGGATTTTGAGACCTTCCTGCCAATGCTGCAACATATCTCCCGTGCAAAAGATCAAGGCAACTTTGAGGATTTTGTGGAGGGGCTGAGGGTTTTTGACAAGGAAGGCAATGGCACCATCATGGGAGCAGAGCTGCGTCATGTGCTGGCGACACTGGGAGAGAGGATGACAGAAGACGAGGTGGACAGACTGATGGTTGGGCAGGAGGATACCAATGGGTGTATCAACTATGCCTCCTTTGTTAAGCATATTCTCTCTGGATAAGCGTGACATTTAACCATGCAGACTTTACCTACGTTTTGTTCAATTTCTGGATCCTTGCTAAACATTTTGTGCATTTAGAGGTGATCATGTCACTTAGTGGGTGACATTATTAGTATGTCAAGAGCAGCAATTACTGTTCAATGCAAAAAAGTCCGCTGCAAAACCTATGATAAGTTATTTTTAATAAGCACTCTGAAGTATTATAAAATGCCAGTGAGATAATATAAAGAAAAACTCTACTAATAAAGAAAATATAATTACAAACTGCCTCACAAATGTCATTTCGGTATAAACAACATTCACATTTAAAGGACTGCTGATAAAAGTGCTCATTTTCTGTCTATTCAACGTTTCGCATCAACTGTGCTAATGTGATTAGGGGAAAGTATTGTTGGTAGATGAAAAACAAATAGGATTTGGCTCCATCTGAAAATAGAACAGATTTGATTCTATTCTACTTAACACAAAGACTGTGTGAATGAGCTAGCTTGTCATTCTGCTTGAGGGGCAGCTGCTGTGGATCAATATATAGTCCCACACGCTGGACACATACACACAAACACACATGCATACACTCATCCAGTTCCTTCTGACAACTACGAGACAGGTGCTCCAAGGACAGGCCCTCGCTTCTGGTGCAGTGGCTGACAGAGCAATTTGTGTTGATGTCTTTGGATTAACACAGTCAGTGAACAGTGTATAAATAACATGTTTAGGTTTAAACGGTTAACATTTTTTATGACAGAACATCTACTTAGTCATAACTTATCCACAATCGACACTTGATAGTTCACATCAACACGATATGAAAAGCTTTTAAAGCAGCACTAAGCAATTGTTGACTAGCAGGGTGCAAAAAGAGGCAGGTTTCTACATATTCAGCCTTCTTTGTAAGGCCATTGAGCTCTTTGGCTCACCATCATTTCGCACAGAGTAGGGAGCATACATTTGTGTTGTTTGTGTTCTTGTAAGGGAAAAGGCTGGCCAACAATGGTTTGGTGAGAACCACATGGACCAGCCAGTTGGAACTGAGTAAAAGCTGGGGGAAAAAGCTGTTGAGTGTTTTCATTCACACAGTGGAATGGAAACCCACTGGAAGACTCTTATTCAATGTCAAAATCAGACACAGAGCTGTGAAAATCATACTTATGAGGTTCATTTGTCTCTGCTGGCTTTTACATTAACATACACGAGGAACAGTGCTAAAAAGATCGAACAAATTACAATAATATAAAAAAAGACGTAAAATAAAACTGATTTGAATAAAAGATAAAACATTTGGACGCATGGACAACATCTCAAGTTGCTGTAAACCATTTTACCAATCAACTATAAATTACATTTTAATTTGTTATAGCATTTAAAATACACATGTTCAGAAACTATATTTAGCTTACTGTAGAAGGACTAAAAAGATGGAGCAAATTGGCAGAAGTGGCACTTACTCTATGCAGCTGTCAAGTACATGCAAAGGAGGTTCTAAGTGCACTGGGCAGCCAGCTCCATACCCGGTTGAGAGCCAGCCAGTCATTTTGACCTATCGTGATTAATCAGCAGCTGTTAGCTTTAAAGGCCTTTGTCAAATATGTGGGGCTTCTGGCTGAGAGGATCCACCAGCTTGTATACATCATTTATAATATTCGTTATACCGAACATTTACAAAAGGTGGACAAAAGATGTTACATGTTCATGAAGTGTGTCAATATCTGATGCCTCTACTGAAATGTCCAAAGCAATGGCTTTGCAATTGTTTTGGTTGTTTTAGAGTGTATTATATTAAAATGTCAGATATACAAACTGCTCTCTCCATAGTTCTCGCAGCCCAGGTGGCAGCATAAACCAGCGGAGTACTCACACTCTGACATAAATATCAAGTGGCAGCAGTTTGTCCCATTTAAAGTGGCAATTTGTGAGATCCTCATATTTTTGCTACAGGCAACAAGCCGTGTTCGGTGCCAAGCAGTTATTGCTTCAGCAATCTTGTGCTGTACCTGATTTTGGGTGTCAAAATATCCGGTAAGTACAGAGTTGTCTCTCAACCTATATTTAAATATTTTGGTCCTGTCATTGTTGTCTATCTTCTGTCAAAAACAAATTGCCTTCCATTGGGGAAATAATCTTTCATGGGGAAATATGCTGCAAATATAAACCTTGCATGTAGTCACTTGAGCATGCACGAGGAAAAGCAAATATTGAAAGAACATTATCCTTTCTTCTGCAATATTCAGGTACCACGCACATACAGTATACTGTATCTAATGTCCAGTTTAACACTGTTTAGCTTAGCAGTTACACATTACCATGAGAGAAATGACAAGGATGAATGGCAACCTTGGTTATCCAACAACTGGGAGTCAAAGGAGGTGCGCCAAGGTCAAGTTCAACCAACATCATTTGTTGGCAGCCTATCATTTCTCATGTGGAGCAACAAATTCACCACTCTATATTAAAAAATAGATAACCTCATTTCATTTACTAGATTTAGTAAGCAGTCTGATGGGATTTTGAATTACAAGAGCAGGTCTCATTTTTGGATGATTTAAGACTGACATTGTGTGGAGAAAATCATATATAATAAGGTGTCATATCCAACCTATAAACTCCAAACCCTTTTTACTCTTTAACATTGTCCAGGATATGATGGAATTGCTCTTCATACCTTACACAAAACAGTTGTTTTACCTTTTGATATTCACATTAGGCAGTTGTCTCTTCTTTCACAGTCTTACAGGTCACACACAGTTTGCAATCTTCTATTAACTGCCACTAAATTAATACAAATAGTTAACACCAATATCTATGTCTCCACTTGTAAGTGTAGGCTGTTCCAAATCAATATAGTTAATTGTTTGGTGGTGTGAGCTAATTACCCTGAGGGTTCCCTTCAGACGATCTTATAAATCCCTCCTACGCACAAATGAATGCTATTTCAGATTTCTAAAATGTTGTGTACCTTTGCAATGGAAATCAGCAACCCCTCAGTAGCTGATACTGTCATTATGATGCAGAACACCACCGAGCTTGTTAGCACTAATGACATCAGAGTGCATGAGTCCCGTTGACTGATGACAGTTAAGTAATCACACTGATGCTGTGCATAAAATAAAATAAATTATAACTAAGATATGTAATGCACCACTTCTTAGCTTAAGACTGATTTAGTCCATAAATGAAAGTGGTATTCTCTGATGAGGGTTTCAAGATCTTGAAACAAAACAATTAGTCAGATTAATTTAACACCTGGTATTGTTTTTGTGCAAGTGCAGGCAACACCAAGATGTTAAGCCCATCCATGAAACATTTTGTATTATTTGTTGCAATTTTCCATATCTCAAACATGCCATTTTTAAATGGTGTACCAATGTCAGAAATCAGATAAAATGAGTTCCAGGAACATAAAACATAATTCTCTTTTAACTAAAATAAATTAGGATCTTTGAAGGTACCACTCCACTTTACATATATCTTTACAATCTGAAAACTGAGGGTCACATTAGCCAAAAACCAACCAAGGTAACCCCCGCCCACCTTATCACCTGCATCTCCTCCTAGAGCACCATTGTGTTCTTTTTAACCAAATATCTCTCAGAGGGGCGTGGGGAGTGGCTCCTTATTTTCATCTAAAGTAACAGACACAGAATCAGCACTTTTGAAACAGGGCTTTATGGGATGCTACAAGCACAATCTGTTTGGTATTTGTAGTAAAACACTTCAGAGACGTGTTTTGTATATATCTGAGACCTATAATATATTGATGAAAAACAGTATAATAGGGGACCTTTAAATTGATACCAAACCAATTGCTTGAACGATGACAGAACGAGGAGATATAACACTGATGATCAATGTTGGGACTAACGCGCTACAAGTAACGCGTTACTGTAACTAGTATGCTAACGCATTACTTTTTAAATTCAGTAACTCAGTTACCGTTACTACATGGTGCGTTACTCCGTTACTGCGTTAGTTTTTTTATATAGTCAACAGCCAGGCGAACAGAGATGAGAACTATAGGTTACTTACGTAACCCCAGTTCTCAGAGTAACATGAAGTGAGATGTCTCACTATGGGATGCGCCTCATCGCGGAGCAAACAGAAGCATCAATCTCATTACGCCAATCCTGATTGGCTGGAGATCTTGATGTCAGCGTCAGGGAAATCACCCACTATAAGTAGCTTGCGCCACAACGCATGCGCCATTCAAAATAAGCACCTCTTCTCGCTTCACCATAGCAAGGAGGGCCGTCTGGTGAGACATCTCACTTCATGTTACTCTGAGAACTGGGGTTACGTAAGTAACCTATAGTTCTCATTCATAACACTCCGTTAGATGTCTCACTATGGGAAATTGTAGCTCCCGTATTGCCAGACGAGCTTATCTCGAAAATCACCAAACCGACCAGAACTTAACAGGTAGAGCTCTGACTCAACCAGGTGCCCAGCACTGCTTGAGTCACACTGGGAGCAGAACGTCCAACCTGTTAGGAGGCAGACAAAAGTGAGCGGCGAGGACCAGCTCGCCGCTGCACCAATGTCTTTGATGGGAGACATCCTGGACAGAGTCCAGAATGCAGCCAGACTCTGAGTCGAAAGAGCTCGCGGACCCGAGGGTGCCTGCGAACTCTGACTCGCATGAGCCCCAAAGCAATTGCTTCCACAGACCAGTGGGAGAGCCGTTGCTTAGTAACAGGCTTGCCCTTATAAGGGTTAGCCCAGGACACAAGGGGTTGGTCATTATGACAAAGCACCCTTGATCTGTCCCTGTACGTGCGTGAAGCACGGGCTGGACACGGCAAATCCGGCCGCTGTTCCCCGGAGGAATACAGTGGCGGGGAGGATGCCTTAATGTCAAATGTGGTACCCGAACCGACCGCCTTAAGATAAAGGCAGGGTCAGGCTTCAACCACACTCTGTTTGCCCTGGGGCAAACTGAGTGCATGAAAACTGTACAGATAGTGCATGAGTGCCACTGGCTCGCTTGGCAGCTGCCAGAGTCAGCGTCATGTCACACTGTATTTAGATTGTACCACTCACGGGCCAGGCCCATAGAGCCAAGCGCTCTGGGTGTGGGTGAAAGATCGCCCCCCCCCGCTTGGGACAGTATGTCCCTGCGTAGTGGGAGCTGCCATGGCTGCCCGCACAGCAGCTGATATATCTCCGCTAGCCAGTACATAGCTGGCCAGTGCGGAGCTATCAGGATAAGTGTGTGGCGTTGCTCTCTCACTCTGACCAGAGTTGGGGGTATCAGAGCCAGGGG